ACTACTAAAAAATAATTCACAAAGGATTAAAGTAAAAGCTTAAAGTATACATAGGCATATTACATCTTTTCAGTTGTTGAAAGTGTAATGTTTTGCACACAAAATATTTTTGCTTGTACAATCTAATTTTTGATTAAACATTGCACTTCCTTTCAGAAGTCACACTGTTCCACGCTGACAAGTCAAATCCATTGCATTTCATTCCATCTCCTTTTTCCAGCTTGAGTGTTAATAATAATCTTGAATCACGAGAAATTCAAGCTTTTGACTATCATGAATTATACACAAGATAGTGAAAAAAGTAAATGCAGGTGGAGGATAATGGTCTTCCTAACACCTGGTGCAAATTTCCAAAGGAAACAGCAATAATGGTTTAGCTAAGAAGCCAACACTCCTTTTCACACACCATTCAAGTGTGCAAAACAATTATTCTATGGAAAGTGCCACAAATCATTACAGCAAACATACCTTTTTAAGGATGATGACTTAGAGGCACGTAGATTGTGACAGCACACAAAATGGCAGCTACAGCTCAATACTTGGTAAATGAAACGCTACCAAGTTTCAACAAGTTGTCTGCATGCGGAAGAAGGAACCTAGCCTCCTCAAACTGAATAACCACATGGAACAACTTAAGCACCACAGCATGTCAGATTAAGGAAGTGAGTAGTGGCGGGAGGCCCCGACACACAGGAAGTAACTGCTTACATCTAGTGTTCTACATTTTTTCACAATCACTGTTGCATAAAGACTTTTCCTGCTTCTACTTAGCAGGTCTCAAAAAAACAAGAAAAAAATTAAGAGGATGGGGAGAGGCAGAGTACCAAAACTGTAGTCAGTTTTATTTATGGCATACTATGCTTGTAGAATACATATCCTCCTGAAAGGCAAGAAAAAGATCTGACAATTTTTTCCCTTTGTCATAAATGCAGTGTCATATGGTCTGACTTCTTTAGAGGGGGATTGCACCGGAAGGCTAAAGATGATTCTGAGGCACATAATAGCTGACTCAGTTATAGCTATGCCAATTCGGACATACTTCACCATTTCTCACTTACATGCTTACTCCACAGCACTGAAAAACAGTCAGCGTGCTGTCCCTGCTGTTAGCTCTGGCAACTATGTTTTAAGACAAGCTAGCTGAGCCTCTAGCTCTCTTTATCTCAACTACTGACTACTCTTCTGATTCTCTTCCCTATCCTACTGGGAGGAGAGTGGTGGTGTGAGTGAGCGGCTGTATGGGGCTCAGTTGCTTGCTGGGGTTAAACCACTATGCCATCTCCTTTTGCAAATCACCTGTGATCACCACACAAAGCACTTACTTAATGAAGTTTAATGTTTACAGCAAGGAAAGAACATAATATACTTCAACACTTACTAATTACCTTTGATTTATAGTAATATGCAGAAATACTGTCTATTTCAGGCTCCAAGGAACATTCACAATTTTTTCAAATGCAACATTTCCTCAGCTAGCCAGAGTGTATTTTTTAACAGTTGCATGTAGAAGCTAATAAAAACCAAGACATCTTACGAAGATCACTTAATTTATTCTAAAACCATTAAGCAATCTAGAAGCCAA